GAAATGAATAATCTGTATGTCTGTTTAAATAACTACACATAGATTATATCTAAAACCTTGATCCTCCTGGGATCCCAAACACAATCTTCCTCCATGCCAATAGGAACCATTCCGCAGTTGGGTGGCACCCAGGCTGTGTCATATCCATGCTGATGCCAGGTTTTTTGGAGGGGGTGTCCCTGCCGGTCGATCTTCTTTACTTTTCCTACTCTAACCCTCAGATTGAGTACAGCTCTCTGCTCACCTACGGGTAGGTTTGCCGGGAAGACTCTGGCCTTCTGAAAGCTCCGACTGACATAGACTCCAGGTCCAAGCATGCCATCTGTGGACCGCTGAAATCCGTGCTTCTTAATACTTAATGCAGCTGTTCCTGTGGTACCATGGTACATGATGTACGTCCTACTACGTCTCCGTTTGTCAAGCTCCAAGGAGGATTCAAAAACTGTGCAGAAGTCATCTGCAAATCCATCCATGCATGCCATACTTTCCTCTGAAAACCAGTAAATTTGCTTTAATAAACAGCTGTTTTCTGTACAAGCAAGAACAATTTAGTATCAATATAATTACTGGAAAGAAAACATGGACTATAGTCAAATTTAGTTAATTCAGATATTAAATTTAATTTTAATGATGTTTTATTATAAAAATAAATTTTAACATTTTATGTTATATTCTAAACCAAATGAAACAGAATAAGACCACAGAGTAGCACACTTACCTCTTCAACTGAAAATCCACTTCAGAGTAAAGTCACTTCAGACCAGTGAATCAAGTTTTTGCTGTAGTTTCAGCTTCACTTACACTGAAACATAGACACGTTATATAGACTGCTTTGTCACACCCTTTTTGCATCACAGAAAGAATTTCTCCTCCTCACTTCTACAAATCAGACTAAAAATACATAGAAAAGCTTTGCATGCTTGATTTCATAAACAGAAGATATAAAAATAAATGAAATTTTTGCTTTAATTAAAGGGTTAAGCTACAAGGTAGGATTCAGTTCTGTATTCTTTCTCAAAAAATAAAGAAAGCGTTTGTAATATATATAGGGTGTCCAAAAAGTCTCTACAATTTCAAAAATGTATTACAAAGGCAATTGATGAGATCTTCATCAGATTTGTTCTATGTACTCAGTGGTTATCAAAGACTTTAATCACATCGCAA